TCCATCATCCATCCATCATCCATCCATCCATCCATCCATCCATCATCCATCCATCCATCCATCCATCCATCTATCTATCGGCCCATCAGACATTTTAGGTGGAAAAAACTTGTAAAACATAGAGTTCAGAAAAATGGAACGGATGAAACCTGGAAAAATGTGCAAAAAATGCAGTGTGTTTCCAAACTCAATGAGCCAATGTGACTAATTATTGTGATCATTATTTTCTCCATTAATGATCAGCCCTAGCTGCTTGAGAACAAAACAATAAAGTTAGCCCCTCTTCCCCAACATCCTCCATATTTGTATAAATGGGTCAGCTGGAGGCGGGTCCCCATATTGAATAGTTTTTGAGGCCTCATGCAATCTATGTCCAGCCCTGTTGAAGGTGGAAGTGTGGAGGTTCAGGATGTGTGTTTGTGCATCTGAACTCAGTTTTTATTTTTACTTTTCAGTGCTGGTAAAACTTCTTACAGCTTTGGTGCTCATTGTTGTCAGACGCTTGTTGTTCTTGCAGCCGAGAATCCCGCTGCTGCCGTGAGCCATCTTACCCGTAGAATACTCGATCTTTGTAGCCGGAGGGCAGAAAGAAATGCTCTGGGGGAGTTGTGGATACACACCACACCGCACATGTACAGTCAAAGTGATGCTAGGTTTCTGAATGTTAATCAACCAACAGGATCTCCTATGCAGCGTTCTATAAATAGCTGTGAAGAACTGTCTGCAGACATTTTTCGGGATTCTGCAGAGATCAATTATCTGTTATGAACCAAAGGTCATTTTGGACTCTTCCTCTGATGCTATCGTGTTCAGGGTATATCAGTGAAGAAGCCTGTCTTTGTAGCTGTACTTTGGTTGCCATGATTAATTACATAGTTTAAGAGTTTGTCCTGCAGATTCTATCTTTTTCTAATGTTCAAGTGGATTTTAAATCCGTTACTTGGAGTCTCTTTTTACCCGTTTTTCAAATCATTACACTTCAGTTTTCAGGAGGTGTAGCTAGAGCTGCACGTATTCATGTTTTCTTTTGTGACTTTTCAGAGCAGAAAACTTTGCTTTAGTGTTTTAAACCCATTTAGTGCTCTAAGTGCAGGGGCATGGTTGATACCTGTCAGCATCTCGCTGAAACCTCCAGTCGAGGCTTTCTTGTTCTTGGGCTGATGCACTTTGTCTGAGTGTCCAAGAGTGGAGGTTTCTTTTCTGGGCTGCAGCAAGGCCATGATTAAACCATGAAGGCAGGTTGTGGCCACAAACTGCTAAGGGGAAAAATGATACAGAGGAGACTCTCATTTTCAAAGGATTTGGGCAAGAAATAACCTTAGTATCTGGGTCAGAATAGAATCAGTGAGGCTCAGATCCAGTGATTTAAAATTCTGCTGTGAGATTGCATGAGAGGGAGTTAAAGCAAAAGAGAGAGGGGGCTTTGGTCCTCAGGATGACTCAAATTCAGCTGTAATCGGAACAGCGACACTTTTTGCATGGTCCTTTTAAATCCATTTGAAGTGTGAAGGAAGTTGTGTAGAAGAAAGTTTTAGCAAAATCCAGGAAATTTAGGGTATTTTTTAACTTTTGTATTTTGGGAGGAGCCTCCTAAAATGAGCTGAATAGAAGGACATACGGTACCTTAAATTGTAACTTCATTGTATTTTATTGGGATAATTATCAAGTGGGAAAAAACATGGTTTTCATTAGTTTTTACAAATAGAGAAATGAAAAGTGTGGCGTGCATTTGTGTTTTGCCCCCATTACCATAATGCACCAAAATAAAATCCATTTTCTTCAGGCGTCACCTAATTAAAGAAATGAACAGAGTGTACCTGTGTATAATTTAGTCTTAGCTTCAGTGTTTTTTGAGGGAACATAATGAACAAACAGCATCACGAAGACCAAGGAACACAGCAGACATGGGAAATGTGATGGAAAACACAGATAGTTATGAAATAACAACCAAAAACCATCTCACTACTTTCAACTACAAGTTTCGCCCACGTGGCAAAGAGACTGAACACCACTGGTTTAGATCAAAGTATATTCATGTGTTAGACCGGCCTAGTCAAAGTCCAGGTCTAAATTTAATTGCGAATCTCTGCAAAGATAAAAAAAAACTTGATGTCCACAGATGCTCTCCATTCAATCTGACTGAGCTGAAGCTATTTCCAAAGAAGAATTTACAAATGGTCCAGTCTCTTAATGGGGGATGAAAACATAAACATGCCACACTTTTATTTGAGAAACATTTTTAAAACCATGTATCATTCTCCTTCCACTTCACAATTATGCAATACTATGTTGGTCTGTCACATAAAATCCCAATAACACATGTTGAGGTTAATATGTGACAGAATGAGAAAAGGTCTGATGAGTGTGAATACTTTTTAATTAAGCTGTAAAGTATTGACCCTGTGGTATGGATATTTCAAGATATTTTTTGGCATCCTAGAGGGCTTTATTTTTCATTTTCCGACAGCAGGCAGACAGGAAAGAGAGGAATGAGGCATTCGGCAAAGGTCACCAGGTCCGGGACTCAAACCCGGGACGGCTGCATCAAGGACTATAGCCTTTTAAACATGGTCGCGTGCTTAACCCCTACACCACCAGCGCTGCGCCCTGGTAGTCTATTTAACACATTTAGGACCATTGACTGAAGCCTAAAGCAGGAGGTATTGTAGTTGTTCTGCAGCTGCCAAGAATAGGATGGGCAGAACTGTCTGAAGCACATTAAAGGCTCTAGATTTGACCCAGTCAGGCACCCCTACAGGGAGATACTCTCTTTATCGAAGTGCTTACAGCCTTAACATTAATTATTCCCTCATCAGGGAATGTCTAATATTACTGATGCGCTCCTCCAAGGTGTTTCCCCGCCAACATTTCATTGATGTCATGCTATTTATTTCGTTCCCTCTGTTGCTCTGCAAGCCTCCTCAGGTTTTTGGCTGCTCCTGCATGCCTTGTTTTCTGTTCGCTGTCTCTCTCCTGTCGTCACTTCAAAAGGCTGCTAATGCTCACTTTAGAGGCGGCGGTCCCGCACGTCGAAGAAGGTGAAGCAGAGTGACAGCTAAGCTAAGCCGTGTCTGCAGGGAACAAATCTTCACAGAGGCAACATGAATGGGAGAGAGCAGCAGGTGATGTCACCCAGCCAAACGTAGACTGAACAAACGTGGAGGAGAGAGATGGTGGAGGAAAACGCTTGGATACGCATTTTTTCACTATCTTGAGACTTTAGGAGGTTAAGAAATAGAAATGGGTTCCCGTTGTTTCTTCATGATGACAGGATTCAGGATGCAAATCCAGGACCTTCTTGCTGCAAGGCAAAGGTGCTGACCACCACACCATCATGCAGCCCATTTTTACATTCAGTGTAACTAAACATCTGGCTTCAGCCATAAATATACAAGCCTCCATTTGTGGTAGAACCAGCTCCTTCTACCCTCTCTCCACCACCAGGGTCCTAATCATAGTTAAGGTAGCCTCCTCTTCCTGTTCTGCTAACTTCTCTAAAGGATTAGCAACAACCTCCACCTCCCTCAAAGTGATAGAGAAATCCAGCAACTCACATTTGTGTCTCTTGAATTTTTGCTTTTTCATGTACATGTTGCTGATACTGACCCACACTCCCTCTCACTATAAGCCCCCAACCTCTCCAAGCAGCAGGGCCTGGCTGATAAATCATCAGAATTAGAATCAGCTTGATTGCCAAGTTCGTACATACAAACAAGGAATTTGACTCCGGTACACTTTGCTCTTTGGTTTTGTTTCTGCATTACAGAATATACATATATACAATATACAAATATACACATATATAAATAAAAAATCATGAATGTTGTTCTGTAACGGTGGGTTGTTCTTCCTATGTTGGCCGAGGTTACTGGGAAGTCTCTGATCTTCCTCCTCGCTGCTCGTTCTCTTACCTCGTCAGTTTTTCACAGATAGATGTAAATATCTTTGCCTCGTCAGCTTCCTGGCCTTATATGAGCTGCATTCAGCTAAAGATGTCAGCCGTTTAAAAGATCCTCGCTGTGGTGAGCTGAACTGACAGAATTTTCCTTTTGTAACTCGGGTGGAAAAGAAATGGCAGTGTGTTTAACCCGACAGCTTTCTGCCTTGGCTGTCAAAGTAGAAGCATTAGGATAGTTTTCATCCTAAGCCTCTATTAAAGAATTTATCGAGAGCCGGTCCGGCTGGCTGCAGCAGGACCGGCTCTGCTCACTAAACAAACCTGCACTCTGTGAACATAAGAGCACACACACGTATTTACACACTTCTTGGAAAATGTTCCTGTAAACAAAATGCACCTTTCTGTAAGTGTAGAAAGCCATTAGCAGCTAATTGCAATGAGCAGGAATCAGTCCTGCTGGCAGCCAGGCTCACATTCATTTCATCTCAATCAAAAGCCACTTATGTATTTTTAATCCATTTCTTTTTTCCATGAATATTCAACAGCAGTTTTGTCGACTCTCTTGTGGTGAAATAAAACCAGCTGAAGTTTAAACATGCAACATAACTTTGAAATTAATATTTCAGTTGGTGCTGGAATAGAAGGAAAAAGCTACATTTCTTTCCTTTTTTGGTTCAATGAACAGGAATCTCACTGAATATTCACAAGGTTCTGTTTGACCTTCAAGTTTTTGCTCTGAAATTAATAAAATGTTGAACTGCCTTTATTTTTTTTTTCATAAATACTGCTCAATACCAGAGTCAGCATTTCTTTTTTAACTCTGAGTCACACAGATGGGACTTAAAACAGACTGTGGTGCTGAGCAGAAGATTTTGGTTAATTTTCTGATTAGTCTTCCTTTTTTTCAGTGATTTGTAGCTAGATTTGGATCAAACTTTTAAGCAAATCCAACAGATTCAAGTGTTAATAACTCCTACTTGAACAGCAACATATAACATTTCTACCTGAATGTAATAAAAAGTGATACATTCACAATTTTACACCAGCAAGGCAAAATTTTCATTATTCATGAAAGCCTCCTGAACAATATTAAATTATAAAAGTAATTACTTCATCTAAAACTGAAAACATGAAGTATTTATCTTGTTAGCTAGTATCCTGCTTGCTGTTAGCCTTGCTTGTTCAGTCTTTAAAGACATTTTGGACAGAGCAAATAAATTCTTAATATATGGGACAAAGTTAGTCTTTTCCGATGAGAAAAAAGATTGTTGTTCTGAAATTGACTGAATGTAGCAAGCATGTTTGACCGGTTTTGTAGCATGTTTAGCTTTTATTGTTGAGTCTTTTTTCAACTAATTGAAAAGTATGGATTTTACTTTTTATTAAGGAATACTATTTTGAATACATAGGTCCAGTAATATTGGTATTTACTACACCGAGAATTGCCAACGTTGTGTCTCAAGAGATGGTTTTGGTTTTATTTGCTCTTTCCCAGTTTTTCGTGGCTTTTGGAACTGACCCATAAATTCTGTATTTTGGATTTCCAATAAGGGAAAAAAAATAACCTGAGATCATGCAAAACCTGAGCCCCCTAACTTTACTACCTTGGATATATTTCTAAAAGGGATGTTTTTGCTCTGTTTATTAAATTATTCGCTTCCCTACAGGCTATGAAATTTCAGCAGAACAAAGCAACCAATTATGACAATGATAAGATGTGTAAAAACCAACGATAACAGCTTTTATATAATTATAATAGACCTCATCCAGTTTACAAGATATACCATAAAGCTTGTAAAAACAAACTGTGCTTGTATACTAGAGGTGCAAACGCAGCAAAATATCTGTGTTAGTGAATTTTAAATTGGAAAATATGTGGTAACATTGGTTATAAGCTGTGGTTTTGGGGGTTTGTGTATAATTTTGTCCTGGTGCTTTGCTGGAAGTGTGAATGTTTGAAGGCCTTATCTGTCCACTTTCATTTTTATGCCCACAGTCTGAAGATAACTTCATGTGTCGCATACCAAGGAGCTTTTTTAAGATCTCCTTATTAAACATTGTTTTGCAGGCTTTTTGTTGCTTGCCTAAGCTGGTAGGAAACAGTTTCTTATCCTGTCATGACATGTTTATGTGGGACTAAGCATGTATGAAACATATGAAATAAAATGTACCATTATGTATATTCTGTGTTTATTGGGACGAAGGCTGTAAAAGGTGTTGCTGCGTGAGAACTGTGACGGTCACGTCTCGTTTTCTTAATGGTCACATGACCATTTTGGGATGGAAGTTCAGTTTAGTATACACATTACATGAGTGCCCCCAAGTGGTTAGATAATTATTAACTTAACTTAACTTAACTTAACTTAACTTAACTTAACTTAACTTAACTTAACTTAACTTAACGAAGCATTAGGTCTGACTCCCATGCCATGTTAGCCACTTAATGCTAAGGTGAAAGAAACTTCATCAGTGCAGATAGAGCAGCTGCATAGTGCATCAGTAACATTAATATTATATATTATTATATCAGGACAATGCCACGATATTTGCATAGCTTATGTATGTTTCATAGCAGTGGTGCATATCTATGATATTTGTTGCCCCTCTGGGTTACGACTTTGTTACAAAAAATTTTTTGAAGACAAGTCCAAAAGAAATCTGTGGCAGCCTGCTTTAGCTGGAGATCTTGGAGATCTTACAGTTGTTTGAATTCTTTTTTAAGCTAAATTTTTAATTCCACAAAATTAAATAAAATCCTGCGATGGATTGGCAACCTGTCCAGGGCGTACTCCGCCTCTCCGCCCATAGACTGCTGGAGATAGGCACCAGCTTCCCCGCGATCCACTATGGAATAAGTAGAAAATGACTGACTGACTAAATAAAATCAACATAGACAACTGAAGATTATGTCAGGTCATGCATGTTATAAACAAGTAATTGTACTTCATCTTGCCCTCAGATGAGCAGCAAACGCTCAAGCAGTTTCCGACGGGCCATCGCCAACGGCCGTCGCACCCTGCAGAGGGAAATCTTGCTGGACGAGACGGGCCTTGGGCTGTACAAACGCTTTGTCCGTTATGTGGCCTATGAGATCCTGCCTTGTGAGACGGACCGGCGCTGGTACTTCCACCAAAACCGCCTTTGTCCTCCGCCCGTCTTCATCGCCGTTGTCACGATGGTCCAGGTTGGAGGACACACTATGTCTTTTTTTGGGTCCTTGGATACGTGATACAGTGATGTGCACATTTAAAATACTGATCATTTTCGCCCTCTGGTTCAGACATGCTCACAGCACGTTTTGTTGAGACTCCTGCTGTCTACGGTACAAACAATCCCTTTTTCTGAGTTGTTCCCTTTGAAAAGATTTCCTGCTTTTGATCACAAGCTTTTACTTTGAGCTTCAAATGAGCCTGTAACCCAATCGGGAGCCAGAGACTTAGCATGTGCAGCTTAACACTGAGATCCTCAGTCAGTCCTGATGCAGTGGAGAGTGGTGGCCTAGTGGTTAGAACAGGAGGTTTGTGTTCCAGAGGGGACCCAAGGGGCCAGGTTTGTATCCCATAGATTGCCACTCTGGGTCCCTGAGCAAGACCCTTAGCCCCAGAATGCTCCCCGGGTGCCGCACAATGGCAGCCCACTGCTCCCTATAAGGGATGGGTTAAATGCAGAGGACNCAATCCCACAGATTGCCACTCTGGGTCCC